GACAAAGAGACTTTTTGCTGAATTCTCTAAATTGTCGCACAGCTCTGACTCCTATGCCTGCCCTTTGCAGACACTAAGGAGAAAGCTCAAAGACCTCCCAGCCTATGGCAAACACTTTCATTGCAGAGCCCAGGACCTATGCCCTTTTCTCACTGATAAAAACCCTGATTAGTTCAGGGTGGCAATGTACCCAGCCAAATGACCACTTTTTCAGCCTCTTTTGCTGCTACAGGTAGCCATGTGACATGTTTCGATCAATGCATGATAATAGGAAACAAAAGCATCTAAAACCCTTTATTTCCCATGATTCCAATTTGAGTGTGATGGCAGGAGCTTCAGCAGCAATCTTATAACCATGAAGGAATAGACAAGAGAATTATGGCAATGGCAACACTAACATTTTGCATAAATAGAAAATAATCATAAAAAGCAATAAAAAATAAAACCATGAAAGCAACAATAGGAAGTAACAATAAGAATACAAGAGATAGTAAAATTCTAGCTGGATGTCACTGCCTACTGAAGACCCCACATTATGAAGCCTACTCTAGTAAAAAAACAAACAAACAAACAAACAAACAAACAAAAAAAACTAAAATAGAAATTAGCATGCTTCGGAGAGACATTAAAAATATATCAGAATCAGACTAAACCTTTTTCCCTGACATCATTGGAAGATGTGAAGGAGACTTGGAAAGGCAATCATCTTCTCGTTCCATGAATCAATGTTATTTAATGCTCTGTGTGTGAACCATGAAATCAGCTCACATACCATCAGCTATTCCTCTTACCTTGAGGAAAACACGGACCTTCTTACTATAAAATGGGGGCTGTACCCCCCAAAAGAAATGGACCTTTCCTAAGCCACACCTATATTAATTAAAGGGGGATAGTGTAGTGTGGTTAAGACCAGTGACCCCAGAATCAGGCTGCCTGGGCTCAGATCCTGCCTCTATCGCTTGTTAGCCACAAGACCTTCCTTGGGGAGACTGCTTAATTCCCCAAGCTTCCTTTCCTGACTCTACAATGGGCATGAGGATGTGGGGATGTTGAGGTGGACTTGTCATCAAAGGCCTACCCAGAGGATTCTTGCAGGCATTAAAATAAATGTTTACTTGATGCCTGACTTGGATTTGGGTAGCCGCAGTTTGCAGTTTGTCAGGGCAAAGCAGTCTCAATTAGAAGTCAACAAGCTATAACCCACTTCACAGATTCAGGGTAAGGTCTGCAAGCTAAGTACAGTTTTTACCTATTTTAAAGGGTTGTAAAAGAAAAAAAAATTAGCAAATAAAAACAAAGAAGAATGTGTGACCGAGACTGTATGTGGCCCATAAAGCCTAAAATATTTACTATCTGGCCCTTTACAGAAAAAGTTGGCCACCCCTGCTATAGTTTCCATGCCCCTCTCCTCCCATCTGCCATCTGGCTATTCAGCTCAGGCCTCTGAAGAGGAGAAGGAGTGAAGGTCCTGGGGTCATAGGCTGCCAGATCCCCTGAAGTGGGGTGAGCCCATCATTTCCTGGGGCTTTCTGGGGAGCAAGCTTGATAGTCCCATGAGACAAAGGTCTTCTCTTGATGAAGTCAGGTACCCGCGGTCAAAGAAACCTCAGGCAGGCGCTGGTTCCCTAGGAAGAGCCCCACATAGTGAGGTCAGAAGAAAAGTCCTGGCTGGACCAGAAGGACTTGGTTCTGCCCACCCTCCCTGCCACCCCCAAGTGCTGGTGCAGGGAAAGGTGACCATGGACACTGGTGCTCCCTGGCAGGTTGCTCAGTGCCAGTGTCCAGCAGCACTCACCCACACAGACAAAGGAAGTGGGAGGCCACCCAGCCCTTCCTCGTGAGGGGAGGAGTGTTCCATTTGCGATACTTTTCTCAGGAATGAACTGCGTTCTCATTTGGGAATTTGGTCTGGGCTGGTCCAGACTCCTCACACTCTATCTCTCCCTTACCTGCCACCCTCTAGTCATGTTGGTTTCTATTTCCAGCCTCTGGGCCTTTGCCCTTGCCAAGCTCTGCCTGGAATGTTCTTCCTCACACAGCCTGTTCTCATCCTTCAGGACTCGGTTCAAACACCACTTCCTCCAGGAGGCCTTCCCTGACCCCAGAGGTCATTGCAACCTGCATGCATCTCTTTTAGTGTCTACATCTCCTAGTAGAATGTAAGTTCCATGAGAGGCGATACCATGACCAACTGTCTTGTTCATCACTGTATTTCCAGGGCATGGTCTCTGGTAAGGGCTCAGAAATGACTATTTAAAGAATGAATGATTAATAAATTTAATTTTGTAAAAATATGTTAAATTTATATTATTCATGAAATGACTGATACGTGGTTCCTGGCAGATGAATTGCAAACAAGAAGCAGATAGAACATTTTAAGAACCTGTACGAGGAAACCATTTGAAGAGTGGTTAAGCAATGAATGGAGTGGATCCTCTCGTTCTGTAGTGCCTTATGTTGGTGCAGGGTTTGAGCATTTCTGAAGTGCTTTTCAGTCTTCTCCCTTTTGATTCTCTTAGCCACTGCGTGAGGAAAGCATGTGTGGTGTGGAAACCTCAACTCTGAAAGGGTGAAGGAGGAGAGGGTGAGGTTAGGTGACTG